TAATAATAATAATAATCTCAGCTCCTCAGTTCCTGCTTTTATTCTGAAAGACCGTCGCTGAGTTGTGACGTCACGTCTCTGAGGCGCGCACTGAATGGGCGTTCATCGTGTTTTGTTTTTGTAAAAATGCTGCAGTTTTTCCTCACCTGTTGTTTCTTGTACTCGATGAAAACTGAAGGACAGGTGTAAAGATGTGRATACTGACACCTGTGCAGCCTGCARGTAACTTTTTACAGTCATGACGGAYATGTTTTATTCAAGCTAGGCTAGCTCCCTGCAGCTAACGGGACAAAGTTTTACATGTTAGTAAAGTTTCAGGCTGAGCAGACACACGTCTGTTCAGTACTTACACGTGTTTTATTCAAAATATAACATGTTTTAAAGGAAGCTGAGAGGATCTGAAGATCTTTGCGCTTCAAATGACTGAATTATTGCAGTTTTATCACGTTGTTAATGTGATGTTGATGACGTCATGTTATTATTGAGCAAACGAGGCCTTCAGTCATCACTATCCTCCTTTATTCTAGTTTAAGGTGTCAGACTTTCCTGCAATCTGCTAAAAAGTCTTTGATAGAGGTTAAAACTTATAAAGAAGGTGTTGTAATAAAGTACTTATTGTATTAAAATAAGCAGTTATTAATACTAATAGTGAGTACATAACATTTAAATCTGATGTCTGTGTTTTTACAGGTGAGACCCACTATCTCCTCCCAGGTAAAGAGTACACAGTGGGCCGCAAGAACTGTGATGTTCTTCTTCCCAACGACCAGTCCATCAGCAGGACTCATGCTCACCTGTCTGCTGCAGACCAGGTGAGAGGAAGTAGAGTCACAGCTGGACTGTTGTGTTTTTATTGACTCATGAATGGAGTTCACAAARCCTTTAAATATAAATCATTAACATGGAGAAGCAGAGCTGGAAAGTAACYAAGTACAAATACTWTGTTTCTGTACTTAAGYAGAAKTTTTGTGTATCTGTACTTTACATGAGTAATTATTTTTCAGCGTACTTTTTACTCCTTATATTTTTAAAAAGACAAGAAGTATAAAGTTGTTRCTTTTATTTCATWTCTGCTTGTTTTCATTGCAGCTTGTTGTTGTAAAAAATAAAAACTATCCATATAAACTGAGCCTCCTAGATAGAGTGAATTTAACTGTGGTTGAATGAGAAGTATAAATATATAAAACTCTGATAGTGTATTAGTTTGTACACAAACA